ATTCAAGGGAAAATCCTTCGCTGGATCAAGGCGTTCCTATCAGACAGGTCATTCCGAGTGAGAATAGGCTCAACCTATTCCTCTCCAGCGCCGGTCTCCATTGGAGTTCCTCAAGGCTCCGTCTTGGGACCACTCCTGTTTCTGATCTACGTCAACGACCTCCCAGACGTTCTTGCGAGTCCATGTTTACTTTTTGCGGACGACTTGAAATCCTGGAGTTCCAATGCCAGCGCCCTCCAAATGGATGTAGACGCTGCCAAGCAGTGGTCGTTGGACTGGCACCTTCCTCTGAATGATGAAAAGTGCGTCCATGTGTCGTTTGGAGGGGATTCAGCGAATGCCTTTGTTATGCATGGTGAAAAGGGACCAGAAAACATCATGAGGATAGATGCCAAAAAAGATTTAGGCATCTGGGTCTCCTCAAACTTGTCCTTCGCACTACACCATGAGAAATCGGCCCAAAAGGCATTCGCCGTTTTACGGATGATCCGACGTACCTTCTCCCGTATTACTCGCATGGACTTCCAAATACTCTATGGGGCCTACGTCAGACCGCTCCTGGAGTACGCCAACCAAGTTGTCTACTCAGGACGTACGAAAGACGTTACCCTCATTGAGCGTGTCCAGCGGGCCGCCACGAGAATGGTTGCCGGCCTCAAGTCCGTGGACTACGAAACGCGTCTCGCGACGCTTGATCTCTTTCCCCTGGAGTACCGTCGCCTCCGAGGGGACCTAATTCTTACCTACGCCCTGTTTGAACAAAGCTTGGCAAACAGGTTTTTTACCGTTGACCCAGCAAACACCCGGCGGGGACATAGTAAGAAAATCTTCAAGCTCAGGGCACACACATCCGTTAGACAAAACTTTTTTTCATTTCGGGTAGTAGCTGCGTGGAATGACCTTCCTCCGACGGTTGTACACGCTCCTTCTCGAACCCAATTTAAAGCACTATTAGACATTTATTTATGCGAATCCTCGCGCTGGCGAGCATACTGCCCCGCGCTGAGAACATAAAGAGCAGTGCTACACCCTTTTTTCACTTGTGCCTTTCAGGTGAACGACAGCCACTGACCGACAAGAACAAAACCGACCCGGGAGACTTGGGCAAAAGCCTCGATCCTGTGTATCAATCCGTGAATCCGTGGACCCGACAGTCAATCATAACCCAGTAATGGCCGAATGCTGTTTGCCAATGTCGCACCCCCTCCAGACTCGCTCCTTTTTGCAGAATCTGCCCATCTGTCGGCCGGTTTCGGTTTATGTGCCGTGCCCAACAGGCTGGAGCAAACTGAATCTCGTGGGGCACTTTGCCGCGCCGGCAAAAGATGTGTTCCGGAATCCACGTAGGGGGTCTGCCGTTGTAGTTGCGAACTGGAAGCCTCTGACATTCGTTGAAGAAGCGCGCGGTCGCTCCATGGAGTTTCTCGGCCGTAGCAGCATCTAATTGCGAACAGTAAAGCGAGACTCATGTGGGGTTCTGCCTAACAAACACTGACAATGACTGGCCGTTTTCGACCATTGGAAGTAGCTGGCGTTAAAAGCATCCCCAATAGGCTTTTGTCCATATGCCTCATATTCCATGTGTCTTCATGTGGGCACTCTCTCTCAAACCACCCCGCAGTAGGACGGTTCTCAGCACTGTCGTCACAGTTCCATGACCTTTGTGTGGCTGATTTCTGTTAGTCCTTTTAACATAGTTCAAATCTGAGGACATATTCTAGCTAATTTGCAGCAACGAAGTCACGGCTTTCATGCTAATGCGTGCTAAGGTGTATCTTTGGAAGCCGTCTGAGTTTCAAAGTCAGGTCTATTGATGGCATGTGGCTTGGCTGCTGCTGTTTGTGCCGAGTGAATTTCGGAGGCGAGGCCCGTGCCACATCGCTGAATACCCGTTTTGGGGCCACATTGCCGACTTGATGATACCAACCGATATAAGTGAGGCATGGAAGATCTTGAAATTCCTCAGACCACCAACCCACAGATGTTCCGCCTTGCAGACGCACTACGCATAGTCTGCACGGTAATGCGATATGTGCAACACTTGAGGCCTTGGTACACCAGCCTCGCATCACAAGTGACAAATCGGCGAAAGCAAGGCAAAGATTCACAACCTCAAACTGGTTCAGTTGGACTGTAAAGTCGTTGCTTAAAGGCTGCTTATGGCGAAGCACAACCCCCGATTGCGCATTATACTTTCGTATTAACCGGGTGAACACATGAATAAGGACATCGGCGACTAGGTCGGGTGTTCCCCCTAGCTCAGCCATCCGAATAAAGCTACCTAGTAGGGTAGAAATCCGCTGAGAATTTTCCCAAGAATTGGTGTGGCTGACGACAGCGGTGATGGACGACCGCTTACCAATAACTACACACTACCAGTTAGCAAGAGCCTTATACAACGAGCTTTTTTGCCGGTCGATATTTGCACATTAGTTTGCCGAAGAGCCAGTGACGCAGAATTCACTGCGGATTCTTTGATCGTTTTATCATCTACAGACAATACATGTGGTTTTTCTCGTTTTTGTTCAGCTATTGCCCGTGAAACGCGTTTTTTCAGCTATGGAACATCTAAACATCAATGGAAGCCAGAAGCGGACCGACTATATTTCCTGGGACGAGTATTTCATGTCCGTAGCTCTACTATCGGCGATGCGGAGCAAAGACCCAACTACCCAAGTAAGTAACACTGTTTGAACAATATTTCTGCCAATTTGCCACCTGAACCTAGTTTAGAGCCTCAATGCATGCGAACTGCAGAGGTTATTTACCGTGTTGCGACCATCTCTTGTAGACGACAGTCATCTGTGTATCCCATTCACTAATCGCCTTGATACTTGCCGCTAGCAACAACGCCAAGTTCGCACAATAGTGTGTTCAACCAAAGCATATTCACCCGAAGATGTAAGCTTCCGAACCTTGTCATTAAAGCGAAGTGGATCACCTGTGAGTGGAGTCAACACACATCTTTGATGAGGTTATTGGGCGTTAGTAGTCACCTCAAACGTCATACAGCCTTTGTTAGAGATAAGCTTGCCTTGGACACAGTGAAGTAGGACTCTGATATACAGCTTGTTCTGCACATCGTTTATTCCTACAGCGGCGTTTCTGTTTCGTTCTGTATCCACCCATTGGAAAACGACTCGACTGCACTAGCTTGGGAGACGCTTGCCTGTCTACAACATATGTACCTCCGCGCGCTTCTTGCAGATATCGAAGTATAGTTTGACGCCATGGTGATAACTACACTCATGCATGTGATTCAACGGACGTGGAAATACGTTCAGAATCGTGTCCCGAAATATGGTGCGGACCCTACCTCGGCCTGGGCGACCGGGAAGTATCATTTGCCCGCGCAGTTCAGCGTCCACCGATTTCCCTCCCCAACCCCTTCCCACCGCGCAAGGAAACGTCGGAGGGCCATTTGACTGTCAGTTATCTGACCGAAGGGCCTTATGATCCTCGGTGCCTACAAACATTAAACAAAATAACACTTCTAAATCCACGAGTTCCTTCCTATATAGGAGCTTTTAACGTCCATATTCTATGTCGAATTGGCAAACAGGTAATGCTTGCTGAAACCTTGTACTCCCTTAAAATTGATGTATGCTGTGTCTCCGAAACACGCATACAAGACCCGAGCGTGGTTCTGCATCTTAGAACGCCAAGGATGAACTCAGCTCTTTCACATTTCTCCCTCCGTGTGTCGGGTGACCCAGAAGCGATGACTCGTGGAATATATGGCATGGGAGTTGCACTCAGCCCCAGAACTGAACGCGCTTTGCTATATTGGATCTCAGTGGACAGTCGTCTTTGAGCCGTCCGGTTATCTAGTTCAATCAAGCACAATGCCTCGCGGCATAAAAGGCGGTGCCTGTTAGTCGTGTCGGCTTATGCCCCAACGGACTGCAGTTCTGATGCGGAGAAAGATACTTTCTATCGAGAGCTATCCAGGCTCATTCGTCAGGCAAGAAGCACTGACATTGTGATCCTTGCAGGCGATTTGAATGCTCAAGTAGGTCGTCTGATTTCCTTGGAGTCACATTTGGAGTTGATGCTCGCCGCACAGACAACGGAGATCGACTCCTTCAGCTGTGTGCTGATCACGAACTGTTTCTGGCAAGTACGAATTTTCAACATAATCGTTCGAACCACGTAACCTGGCGGCCGCCAACTGCAAATCAACCGTGGACCCAGTTGGACCACGTGGCCATCAGCCACCGGCGGAGAACCACAATTCTAGACTGCCGTTCTTTCTTGGGCACACCACTTGATTCCGACCACACCATGGTACGAGCACGCCTACAGTTAGTTTCTCTTCAGGCCCTCGCAAGTCGCCAAGAAGTATGCCAATCCACCAGCTTCGAAGAACTGCCATAGCTCAACAGCATCGATCTGAGCTAGCCCAACAAGTCTCCACAATAAAAAAAATACTGTGGTGGCAGTGGGCATGTGGATGAATCGTGGCAAAGTGTGAAAGGAGCAATGTTAGCGGCGTTCAGTGCTGCCTGCCCGACTTCTCCAATTCGATCACAAGACCACTGGATGTCGTCGAGGTCGCTATCTATGATTGATGCCGGGAAAGCCATACCAGCGGGCAACGAGTTCGACGGCGCACGCAAATCCCTCAAGCGCCCAATAGTGAAGAGTCTAAGGAAAGACCGAGAGCTCTGGTGGATATCGAAAGCTCGGGAGATGGAGAAGGCTTTTGCTACGGGAAACAGCCGTGCCCTATATCTACTGATATGATCAAATGGCTCTAGGAAAGCAACGGTCAGCGAAACGATAAGTGAAAAAGATGGCTCACTAATTCCCTCACAAAGACGTCGTCTGGAAAGATGGGCCGAACCCTTCAAAGAGAAGTTCAGCTGGCCTCCTGCAACAGAGCCTAGAGAGATAGCGCGAATGGAATGTAAACCTTGATCGCCCGTCGGAAGACGAAATAAGGTACGAAATAGCCCTACTGAAACGTGGGAAGGCGCCAGGACCTGGCAGTCTCTACCCAGCCCTCTTCAAAGAAGGCGAAAAATCCCTGGTGAGCCATCTGACAAAGCTTATTGGTGCTATATGGGACGAAGAGGAAGTGCCTGCAGAATGGGGCATGTCGACAGTTATCCCCATCTTCAAAAAGGGTACGCGGACGCTGTGCGAAAGCCACTGTGGCATCAGCCTGTTAGCTGTGGCATCGAAGGTGCTCTCTGGCCTTATCCTTCGAAGGTTGACTGAACACAGATATCGAGTACGCAAAAGACATAGCTGTTCTTGGATCTGGTCCCGTCGTAATGCAAACAATATTACATAATCCAAATAATTCCACCTCACGGCTCGGTATGCGCTTCACACCTGCAAAGTGTAAAGTACTACTGCAAGACTGGGTGGGATCGAACCCTAGCCTCATGCTTGCGGATGAACCGATTGTTAGTAGACAAATTTGTTTACCTGGGCAGCTGTATCAGTCCCGGTGGTCTCGCGAAAGATGATATTTCCGTCCGGATTGGGAAGGCCAGAGCAGCTTTTGTGACATTTTGTGGCGTAGGCGTAAGATCAGCTTCTCTGTCATGGGTCGAGTTTACAATGCTGCGGTGCGCTCCATATTACTATATGGATCAGAAACCTGGACACTGCGCGCTGAGGACGTCAAAAGACTTTCAGTGTGTGATCATCGATGTCTTCGGGGCAGTTCCCGAATTTGGTGGGAACACCTGATCAGCAATTCTGAAGTACATCGAATGGTATTCGGGAGAAATAACTCACCACCGATAGATAAACTGATCACACTGCATAGGTTGCGCTGGCTTGGCCACGTGTTGCGTATGCAAGTCGACCGACTTCCTCGCAGGGTTCTTTTTACACAACCACATGAAGGGTGGAGGAGAGCCAGAGGCGGTCAAACAATGACTTGGCAGCGAAGTATGAAAGCCATTACCAGCAAACTCAGCTGCGCTGATCGCTGCCGTCTTCCTGGATGGAGACCCCGAGACGGTCCACATCAATGACTGGAGACAATGTCGGACATGGCCCAGTCGCGTCCCCAGTGGCGCTTGTGCATCCAAGCTATCACCTTCAATGCATAGCTCCCTTCCCAATCCCCAACTTGACAGCTCACTGACAGTGCTAGATTTATGCACCGATTTATCGTCTCCCGCCTGCAATGCGCATCTACCTACCCCTCCCCCCAAATCATCGGGGAACGAAACTGCAACAGCTACAACCACTGTACGACGAGTACGCGGTTATTACAGCTGACAATGATGATATGGTGCGGACGAGTGTAGTGGCTAAGGCCCGCGTGGTGCTGATTCCACATGACTTGTCTCCGTATCTGGCCTACCAGTTGCTGCGCCAAGGCGAATCGATTACTAGGAGCGTTTTATACAAATACGATCCTGTCGACCGGATCGACCTTCGCAACGCGCTTGTGCAAAAGGATATGTCCTAGAAGTTTGTGGATATCATACGCACATTTTCACATACTTGTGGGAGCGTGAGTACATGGGGAGCTATCCCGAATGTTCTCTACAAGTTATAGTGTTCAGCATGACCCAATCGAATTGGAATGGTTGTACACCAGTGTTCCATGGTGTTGCTGTCAACGATGATGGTGATAAAAATTGTCGTTGAGAAACCACCTGATTATACTCTTAAGAAATCCATGGGAAGCCCAGTCGGCCAGAGCGGCGCAAGAAAAGCGATAGTATGTTTATTTTTTTGTTTTCATCCAAGTGTGTATGACTTGGAGCTTGTGAAAAATAAGGAGTATAGCAAGGAAAATTGGGCGAAAGCTTTGCGGCACCTGAAACGTCGTCGTCATCTGACGTCATTGTGGGTTACCTTGCTCAGTCACCTGGAATTCCTCCTAGGAGTCCGTAGCAAGAGAGGCCACTCTATAATCTCCTGTTCTTTGAATCTGTGCTATTGATTGCATGGCGTGTGGGCTTTTTAATCACGCCTTAGGCGAAGGACGATGGCATTGGAGTTTAAGTGTGCTGCTGTCCGCGTTGATAACCAGTTGATCATTGCAATCACTGTCAGCCATAAAGGTTGATTCCGGTTATAATGAATAATCAGACGGGTTTAAAACCCTTCGTTTTGCAATCCTCACCGAAATTCTTGGGATATGCGAAGCCGATGGTTCTAGGGGAGCATGACACGGTCACTTTACATTTCAAAGCTTTTTAGAACGGACCATACCCGCAATTTAAATGCCACACTCCGTCCGCAAAATCATTAGCATGAACTATTGGTTTGACCTGTACATTGACTTGGAGACGTACCTTCTACTAAACTGTAGACTTAGGGTTTCCGTTTGTTCGGGAATTATCACATTGTCCCCCATTCTTTACTCATACGACTGGGTTACCTCCCAAGAAATGATCAAACTCATCTCTCCTGGTGTATAGCTCTACGGGAAATGCCTTAATATTGTCCATTTTTCGTTGCACTCCGACAGTGTAACAGAATAAGCCTTACACAAGGTTTATTTGTCACTTTCACCAAATTCTCGTATTCAAGCACCGCCTAATCCAAATACTCCGAAGTAAAACAACGCTTTCCCGTCCGGATGAGAAATGTTGAAATAACCTGTTTGGATCGTTTCAGAAGAGTTTGGTAAACAATCGGTAGCTCTAATTTGGGCAACGTTTCACTTTTGACACAAAAGCTTCATCAGACCAAGTGAACAGGTCACCAAATTGGCCAGGTTATAAGACACGGGGAACCAATCAGTAAGCCCCCTTCACACTAGATCAGTGTTGAGTGTCAACAAGGGCTCTTGTCGGCTACTGTGGGTGCCATAATCTTGAATTGGTGGGTTGCAGGAGTTCCAAATTAGTTCCGATCGCTTTCCGTTCCTTAATCTTCCACTTCATGGTGCTTTATTTGATGATTCACCTCGGTTGCCACTAGTAGATTTTCCCTGGTCTTTGTGGGGTTGTGAGTGCCCCGACTATTTGGCTCGAGCGGGGTTGAGGTGGGGGTTGAGGTCAAGTGGAATCCAAGTGATGACTACTCTTCCTACTGATGACCGCACACCAACACGTGTCAGCTCGAGTGACCCAAGACCGTTCTCCACACGCTAGCCAGTTCTACGCCTTTCATTCTGTTGACGCTGGGATGCTTGGCGATTTCTACCGCCTCGGCGATCAGTCTGTGTGACGTGGACCGTAGTCCTCGCCTCAAAACCTCAACATTTTCTAAATCTATTTTGTGTCCTGTGTCTAGTGCGTGTTCCGCAATCGCCGAGTCTTTCAGTAACGCTTGATATTCATCTGCGTTTCTCGGCGGCCTGTTTATTTTTCTACTATGCTCTCCGACTCTGATGTATAGTTCCCTGGCCGTCTGTCCTATATAGACTTTGATGCAGTCATTACACTTGATTTTGTAGACACAGTCCCTGGTTCTGTTTTCCGGGAGGCGATCCTTCAATTGCACCAGTGCAGAGTGTTCCCCCTTTGGAAAGCTACTCTTACGTTAGCCGTGTTTAGAATTTTTCGAATGACCTCCGATGTCCCTGATTTATATGGGATAACAGCGGTCCCGATCCATTTCCTGTTGATTTTCGCTACCAGTACCAACACCCTTCGCAATTGACGCTTAATCAAGCTAGCAGGATATCGAAAACCCCGAAGTTTGTTCTTTACTTCAATTTGGGCCGCTGTCCGATCAGCTTCTTCTGTGCACAAGGCCCTTACACACCTAAACATTGATGGCGCAATACTGGCGAATGCCGACTTCGGATCGGCAGACGAGTAGTTCAAAACTGCCCCAGGTTGGTTGGCCTTCTCGTACACTGTGGTCTTTAGTTTCCCCCAACCTTATGTGTCATGCAGTCTAAAAAGGCCAGTGTACCTGAGGGTGACTGCGTCTCCATACTAAATTTGACCTGTGGACTCAGTTCATTCAGCCAATTGTAAAACTCACTAACCTTGTCCCGTTTTATGACGACGAAAGTGTCATCCGCATACCGCCAGAATATCTTAGGTGGGTATGGGAATCCGGCTAAAGCTCTCTGTTCAAATTCTTCCATGAATACATTTGCCAAAACCGGGGATATTGGAGATCCCATTGCTAGACCTTGTTCTTGAGCATAAACCACTGAGTCAAAAACGAAGTGGGTGAGATTCAGACATGCTTTTATGCCTTCCACTATTTCACCTACCGTAGCTGTGTCTGTTCTGAAAGGGTGGTGTCCGCTAACAGCATTCGCTTGGCCATTTCTAAAGAAGCTTTTGTGTCAAAAGCGAAACGTGGACCAAATAAAAACTACCGATTGTTTACGAAGCTTTTCTGAAACGATGACTTCTCAGTAGGTTCCAAACTTTTTCCACTTAATTGAAAACCTGTTTGGATGTTTTTCGTGAAAATCGGGCTTGTAGCCGTTGTCCATCTAACCCCTGTTCATTGCACAAGTCGATGAGGACTACTCGTACATCAAAACTGTCGCCTTCACTGCGTAGCGACCCAGCTCCAGAATTAAATAAACACGCCAGCACCCCCAAGACTTGGCTGTATGTCCCGATTACTCCCACTTTCCGGTGATCGAAATTGTAGCAGCTGGAACCAATGTGCTTGTGGTACACGGTTTATAGCTGATAAAGCCAATTGAAAATAGGCAATATTACTGTGTAGTCTTAATCCTCGTAGTAAACATCGGGTCCCATTCTAAGTTAATTAAAGTTCAACTAAATATGCCAAATCTTCGACGTTTGCGATATCGTGACTTAGTTTCGGCGCATACAGGGCCAACAATATGTGGTTCTGCAGCAGTGTGTTACGAATGAGTCCTCACACTCGTTGCCGTTCCTAAGGAGATATCTCTGCTTGCTCGATTGTCAAATTTAGATGGCGGTGTTTACATCCTGCTTTACTACGGTCGTCATCGGACTGTGCTACGAGGTTGGTACCATCTTCTTTTGGGACAAGGTGTGGCTACAATGCACCCCAACGTTTGAAGAAACACTACTCCTCAGTCAGCTTTTCCGTCTTTCCAGGCGGGATCGACTTTGAACCATCTTCACCCCTGCCCAGATACAGAAATCACACAAGTGACCATGCAAGGCGCCGAACAGCCTCCCAATTCCACAAAGTTTCTCATCTCACTCTCAAAACCAACAGTTGACCGTTTATCAAGCGTAAGTTGACAAAGGGACTAACACGTCGTCGTGTCCGTCTTTTGCTCCGCTCCAATTCGCGTGTGAGTCGACGTCACTTGATAGACTAATAGCATGGACATCGCAGTGGACTTACACGACAGCCAAAGCGTTTCAGGCAGTATGCACATGTTTACGTAGCGCACGATAGAATATAATGCTCATACGATTGTCGCTGCTGCTCCAATTGGCTGACTGATCTGATAATTTTAGTGGAGCAACAGTGCAGGCGTGATTGGGCTTGTTGCAGGGGCATCGGGTATGATGAAACTGCAATAGTCGAATTCCAAGCCCACCATACACTCGGTTTACGTAGTGACACTGCTGAACAGCTAACTTGTCGATATTCATTTTGTGTTGATTGTGGCGCATGACTTCTCTCGGCTCATCAAACATCCTGAGGAGGTCGCAGGACTACTTTTTATTAAAACAGGAAGACGAACACGATGCCTCAAGTGAATATGCATAGGCGATCGATGTCATGTGTAAACAGCCTACTGCCGTAAAATATTTCACTAAAATTTCGACAAATACTCATTTGCAACTCAATCTGGTTTTCAAGGGAGACTCGGCTGAATCTCTCGCTTATGACATTCTTCAACTGAATGTGCTGCACAAAGGCCTCCTTATGTTTCAGTACCAACTGATATTACACTATATTTTCATAAAGGAAACTATCCACAATGTTGCTGAAAAGTACTCGACAACCCACGACCGGTTTCGCTCTTCTTGGGGCACATCAGGTAGGCGCAATGCCCCAGTTTTCGTCAACCTTATGTTCTGCTTGAAACCAGATTGGACTGTCGAATCGTTTTCAGCAGCCTTGTGAGTTCCCTTTATGAAAATGTTTTACTAGAAGTTGTGTGGTGAGCTTCGATTAATTTAAAACAAGGTGATCTGTTCGACAAACACAAAACAATTATGAAGTATTCGAATGGACACAATGGTTAGTCCCCGTGAGGTCGGATTTTCTTGAATTTTCAAAATCATTTTAAGCGGTATCTGAGTGCCACCCTTCAATACTTGTCTGCCTGGAGGTGAAAATATGCACTTCAATTATTCTTGCTTGGATTCGTTAGAAATATGACTATCACTGGGGGGTAAGGACCACTCGCTGCTTATAGTTGTCATGGTCGGATGAGTTCACTTACGACCAGTTTTGGTCTCAGGTGAGCTGTAAGTCTGAACTCTGAACTCGTCCGGTGGAATTCGTAATTCTAGGCAGGACTACGGCATGGATCGGGATGGCTGTGTCGGTCCCTCTTCTTGGCTCAAAATAATATCCAAGCGTCACAAGGATAAATGTTAACATCGAAATCTATTGGTTTTCGTTTCGTAGGTGCTTTACCGGTCATACTGGGGTTGTTGTGCGCCTCAGGTAAGCACAGTCCCCGACTTTCCGTTAACCTTATATTCTACTTTGAACTCAGATTGGACGCAGTTCGCGAAATACATTCGTCTACGCACTAATCTTTTTCTCAATGGTAGATAATTGAATCTTCCGTTAGAGATAAATCAATATGTAAATGGGTGCATTCCGCTAAAAGATTCACTTATTTTGACCGCGGGACCGCTCATGCTGAGCTTCTACAACCTTGTCCAAGATAGCATATCAGTGATAGAATTACTGCTGATTTAGGATCGTGAACTTCTCGATCTAACAAATTCATCCAGTCATTTGGCCGACAAGGTACCGATTAGGTCAACGATAATGTTTGCCGTGATGCTAATATAGGTTATTTCCCATAGGTTGAACTTAGGTACTCTCACCTACAGGTTACAAAGTTCGGGTGTCATTGGCTTTTGGCATGCACGCTAGGCTGGGATTGAGAGATTTGAATGTACTTATTGTCAGTGGTGTGAGGCACAGTCTAGCCAGTACTTCCCCGAGAGCCCCATGCGACTCAAGTTGCTGTTTGGATTTGGACCCGATGTCGTTGCGCCCATTTATGGAGAATGATGTGTATAAGTTGCATTACCAAAACCATTTGTCAGAGTCTGACAACGACCCAAAGCTACCCTCAGAGGTGGGACATTTTGGTGCAAAATGTGAATATGCTAGTTCTCACTAGGCGAAAATCTTTGTGCGTTCTGTTGAGGTTGAATTGTTGGAACGACTCGAAAGAGTTCGAGTTTCTCCTGCGTGCCTTATTTGGGACAACATTGCACACGAGAGATCCATCTGAGTGAGCTTCCCGTGAAATCCAACCTTATATGCCAGTTCCGTGCATTTCGGGTCACACAATGCTGATGGATACTCGGGAACTGCGCCTATCTGATGAGCCCCAAAAAGTAAAAAAAAACGATCGTAGGCTGTCGAAGTGTTTTCAATCTTAGCCCGTTACATCTAGAATTTTTTTCGAACAGACCGACTACGTTGTCCGCCTCACAACCACTTTTGATATTTACAGGTTGGTGCGTGCATAACGAATGAGGAAAATAAAATTGTTGGCATTGGTTACAACGGCATGCCAAGGGGACTTTCTGATGATGAGATGCCCTGGGGTAAGACTTCTGAGAACGAGCTGCTGAATAAATACTTCTATGGTTCGTAACAACTACCTCAATGTTCGTATACTAGTTCTTTAGTGTGCCACGCGGAACTCAACGCCGTTCTGAACAGAAACCACGCGACTTCCTCCGGTTGTACATTGTATGCTTCCATGTTTCCATGCAATGAGTGTGCAAAAGTCTTAATCCAAGCAGGAATCAAAGAGGTCGTGTATTTTGATGAGAAAGAAGGCGATATCGGAGAATACGTAGCCTCCAAGTTGATGTTGGAAAAAGCCGGAGTTCGTATAAGGTAAGTGGATTACGGCATCGCACCAACGATATACCTTCTAGACCGTTCAAACGAACTGGACGAAAGATCACAATCGACCTCGGCTGAGTAAGATCAAGACGGTGCCGTAATAATCTGTCATAGGACAGCTCACTCACTATACCACTGCATTCTCCATCTGAACAATAAAAATTACTGAGAAGTTCTTCCTGATCTGTACTTTAGATCTCTATATCGTTTTATACACATCATCGACGGCATGACACCACTGTTCAACACGGATGCTTCATTGCCGTAGTTTTAATACACACTCATTTCGGACCCCCTATTCATAGCGTTTCGTTTGGGGCATCATCGACACGGGCTCCACTTACAAGCAGGAATCTCATCTGCAGGTATGTGGTTCCATACATGGCTTTGTAGCTTGTCTATTGTCATATTGCGTCATTGGCTCCAGTTATATGTTAATTTTTCTTTGAACATCAAAGCACGTTGCAGGCTGGACTTGTCCCAAGCCACCGGACTGAAGGGCCCTTGCTAGACTGGATACTAGTTGATAGTTGCCTCTGTTCGGTTCGTCGGGCAACGCCCGTGAAAGAATCTCAAAAGCTGGATGCTAATAATCTGCTTAGACACCAACCGACTGTAGCATTGGGACCATCAAGGACATCTCTTATGACTTCTTGAGTGTCTTATTACGGCGAGAAAGCTTATATGCTGTACTGGCTAGGGATTACGATGCACCAACGGGCAAACTTGGCGCATCTGAGACTCAATTGAATAGTCAACTTGGGTTGGACTCGATGTTGCCTGAACGGGAAAAATCCGACCCAGGTGCACGTATTCTTGACGGACGACAGCGTGGGGTGTGTATCCGAGACTGCTATTGCGTCGAAACTCAGGAGGGAACTTGTCGGCCTGGCTACATTGTCATGAAGGAAAGCACTCTATTGTATAACCAAACCCTAGTGGTATGTTAAATCCGATAATGATTCTCAGCCGGCGAAGTCAAAGGTGTTGTTTTCGCATCTAACGTCTACTGTAATTGCCGGCATCAAACCACATATCATTCTAGGGTGTAGAACCAGGTGGATTGCATTGTGAGGGAAGTGATTTGACCAGCAAGCCCCTTTCCAAAAGCACAAAATAACCCGTGCGAAAAGCGACATTGTGGAGAACATGAACGTTTTAGCAACTGCATGTACTTAGGAGTCAAATTTATTACAGAGCGGCGTCCTCGTGATCCGATCAATTTCATCGATAGTTGCACGGAGTTGGCTGATCACCTCATGGGAAGAGAGTAACCGGAAAATCTCCCCGACCGGAGGTCCGACCTGCGAAGTAGCAATCACACACCAAAGTCTTTGGTATTCACTAATAATTACAGCGGGTTTACACAAACGAAGACAGCTGGGCTGTTCGTACTAAATACGACCAACCCTGCTTCTATATAATGAAGCTGTGTGATCGACGTCCTGAAAGGTCAAGCACAGTTATACGTTACGGCGTTCGCCTTGAGATGGTGCGTTTGCACCATCAATGCAGCAGTCTTGAGCGGATACATCATGGTAAAACAGGAAAGCGGGGTTGTTGGCGCTGTTACCTCAATGCTCACTGGACAGTGGTAAGCAGGATGACAAGCAAGGGGAACTCAGCTCATGAAAACTGAATTTCCTGTGGATATGTAGAGTGGTAGAAGCTGGGGTCACAACTTGTATTGAAATGTCTTAGACTGTAAGCAAGGGTTCACCACACCAGCGAGGTACAAGTGATTATTCTCGGACCTGAAAGTTTGTCACGGCCGTAATCTTGAATCTCTTTGAGAGGTGCACTGTCCTCACCAACACTAATAAGAATCCATCTCGATTCGACCAATGAATAGCTTGGTTATTTAAATAGAGCAGTTGTTTCTCAGTTTTGGTACTTCATTTATGCCTCAATATTCGCTCGCTACAATCCACGCATTTTGGCGTCAGTTTGCAGCGTCTACTTGAATCCGTGCATAGTTCTTCATTCTGTTACATTTTGACAACCTCGGTTTTCTGAGGAAACATTCCAGCCGGGTTTCGCACCTGAGACGCTGGGACCAGTATGCACTATACTCGGCAGGCCGTCTAACGTATCTCCCGTAAATACTATTCTCCGTGTTTTTGTGAGCCATCTTATTACTGTCCGGTCCAGTCGAGCTCCTTATGGGACGTGAACTTAGTACAACGGTGGCATGGCAGCTAGGCACCGGAAGGGTGCTACAGCTGCACAAAGAAGAACAACGGTTATTTCAGTCTTTTGGGTTTGCTGCATCTGCTTTGCAAGTATTACCTAGTGAGTAAGTACGCTGTTGTTCTTACAAACACAGTGCCAATGAATTTAGACCAGGTTGCAATAAGTAACTTCTAACTAACCAGATATTGATAGTGAACTCGCGCTTACTTCATGTTCCGTAAGTCCAAGGCGTAATATTCGCATAGCAATATGTTGGCTAATCCGAAGCCGACGGCATATTGATCTGACATACTTGGTAAGGTCATCGGAGGGCGGTAGAGATAAGGCGCCAATGCATTCGTTGAACAGAAGCACCACGTCATCTAGCCTAATTGATGAACCTTCGATCAGACTAAGGATTTTCGATGCACAGGATCCCGGTTCAGGTTTTAGCCAGAGGAAGCGCAGTCCAGATTCAGCGCTTATGAGGTCAGAAAAACATGTGATCCGTCCTTTAAGCACCAAAAGTTTCTCGGCAAGTGCACGATCAGCGTCCACATCGTGTCTATCATGAAAAATGCAGATGAAAACTGATCAGAACATGATCAATAGATACAGGTTTGAAGTTGGGGTAGCTGAGTGTTCTGAAACACCCGACAAACAAAACAAACAATTTACTCTACTAACGGTGGATCAGTAACTCGAAGTGCTACTATTTCCGACTGGATGCCTTTCATAAACCAGACTCTTCTAACACAAAAACAAGACGCCGGACAAACAGAGCTTTCTGTAGACGTATTTTCTGGCATTATCCAATTCACTCCCAAGAATTAAAAGTTGGATGGCAACATCCAACGGAAACCCGTAATTGTCTGCTGTCGATTGTGGTTAATTGAGTTGGGAAGCGGTCAACAAGAATGAAGCATCGCTATCTCGCAATTCGCTCTGTGAAGAAGCACAAATCAACCTTCAAGCCTCAACAGTATCTAATGGTCAAAAGCTTCTTCAGCCGCTATAAGGTGGAGCGGAAGAAACAGCAGCTGTATTTCGCCCATAATAACCGAAAGATTTGATTTGAAAGTTTCCCGAAAGCGACGCTAAAACACTACCGTTAGGCCTGGACAGTATTACCTGATGGAGCTCGAGATAGCTCAGTGGCTAGAATGTGAACCTACTGACCGGAAGGTCCGTAGTTCGAACCCAACTTCAGTATCTGAACTGATCCTGTCTAAGCTTAAGCAACCTGAAAGCACCTCAGCTTTTGTGCTTTTGTCCGGTGGTGTGGCAGCTGAAAGATTATTACCCAGTACGTATTCATATGATAAATCGCTATGCTTATCAGTACCAGCTTTGAGATGAAGTGTAAGTTCTGTTGTCCATTTCATGAAAGTCGAGAGGATTTGGGATGAAACATGCACAACACACCAAGCCCGCTAAAGGCGACTTATAAGCTGGTTCGGAGAGATTAGAATGACATTTACGTGTACGGCAGAATCATGGTCGGGCCGAGCTTCCAAGCACTGCGATTCGAAAATGTAGTTTTCAGCAGCGCTATGTACTTGTGTCTGCAGGTTGGCCAAGTTATCTACGTTCTCCGCTCAACAGCTGGTTTTAGTTTCATTCAGCATATGATCCTCGCGGTGGCTTAAAGGCGATCACCAGATTTATTACAACTCAAGAGACACTAGTGCGGATATCACGGACAAATTGTCAACAGTTTTGGTATGCTACACCCTTGCTGTGCATCAAAGAAGACAATGGTCGTCTGTCAAGTCCTCGTTAACTAGAGCCGTATCCGTTGAAGCTTTTGCTCTGAGCCAACAAACCGAATAAAGACTGGGCGTCGCTTGTCAGATTGTAGGAATATCACAAGTTCTCGTGGGAATTTCAATTAAAGTGCACATGCATAGCGAAATGCCTAGGTCCGAGGGGTCTCAAGCAGCAATTTAAGTTCACAGTTAAGCCTGTTTCAAGCCTTTATGAACTACGTGCCACACTGTTGGGATAAAGAGAATGAAACATGTAACGCGCGTAGGGCTCAATACCTAGCATTCTGGTTATCGTACGGGAAAATTCCGATTCAGTCTACCGGCCTTCGGTACATGAGACTTCCCGTTTTTCATTTATGAATGCAGTCGAAGCCGTTACTTTCGAAGAAAGCTGTTCCACAATGCTTTGACATCCGGCACGATCCACGTAGGCAAAAGTCATAAACGGCCATCAATAAGGGGTCAATATCCTCAACATACCTGCAAGTGAAATGGGATCCGGGGAGGTTGCTTTCAAGATAACCACGTACACGAGAAACCAGTTCAGGAGTTTTGTAATCTGAATTCCCGGGGTTCGTCAGCTCTGTCATCGCTTGTTCGGCCATTAGGTCGAAATGTACCCGATTACAGATACGCAGCAGGTCTGGCGAAATCGTCACATTCTGTCGTCTGATTCGGGTCAGACTAAACTGAAATTGAAAGCGAAATACACTCATTTGCAAACAAATTTGGTTTTGCGGGAGACTCACCCGGAACCCAGCTGAATATCTCGTTTATGATGTTTTTAAGCTAATCTCGTGCAATTTCGGCTCAAGTGGAACATAAGGTTGCCGGGAACTCGGGGACTGCGCCTAAGACGGGCGAAACAGGTCATGGACTGTCGAAGAATTTTCAGCAAGCTCATGATAGTGCATTATAGGTCGAAATGTACCCGATTACAGATACGCAGCAGGTCTGGCGAAATCGTCACATTCTGTCGTCTGATTCGGGTCAGACTAAACTGAAATTGAAAGCGAAATACACTCATTTGCAAACAAATTTGGTTTTGCGGGAGACTCACCCGGAACCCAGCTGAATATCTCGTTTATGATGTTTTTAAGCTAATCTCGTGCAATTTCGGCTCAAGTGGAACATAAGGTTGCCGGGAACTCGGGGACTGCGCCTAAGACGGGCGAAACAGGTCATGGACTGTCGAAGAATTTTCAGCAAGCTCATGAGTAGTGCATTACGTATATGCATGAAATTGAAACACTGAAAATCGACTCTATCCGCAACATCGTCCAACGAACAGCTAAGATTTTTGCAAGGATTGAGAGTGACCTTTGGCTAAACCGTTGTTTTTCACGGGAAATTTCGAGTCTTACCGCGCACATACTTGTATAGCGCGTTGTGGTCCCTGTTATAGTCATTTTGGATTTTCGTTATGGATTATGATGTTTCAAAACAGATAGATATGACCACGACTGAAGAAGCTGAGGCTTCCCCGTATCCTTAACCGATGATTCCTAATAACTGTAGCCAGTTAGAATCGAAGAGAACTTTTCGTTAGGAAAGTGTAATCGGAAGACAGCTCCGTAAATCCAGTAGGTAACAAGGAATGTTGGACGACGGAAACGACGATGGTCCGATTATTTATAAATGGAGAGAGAACTAAGGGGGTAAACTTGTAAGCGAAACAGATGGTTTCATGATGGTATGGAACTCCAAGCGATGTTTAAAAAATCCATTTGTCCCAATTCCTACCCCCCCCCCCCCGAGAAACGTCATGAAACTAGCTAGCTTCTTAAAAGAAGCAGGCTGTAGCGGGACAATACCAAATAAGATACGTTATCGGCAGATTTAGAAAAATCCACTTCTCAAAGCAGATAAGCAAAGAAATTCAGTCATAAACGACAGCTACATCTTTATTCAAGTAATCGGAAACGGAATAGACTCTACGACAGCTATCTTCGTCGCCTAGAATCATTTCGGAAAAAAAGACGAGTCGAGCCGGACACTTACTTGTTTAACGCATATCGAGGGTAGAGCGCAAACTTTTGAATACAATGTACATCAACGGATTATTTTCTACTCAATTTACAGCTTTCGTAATGAGCGAACTATCGGGGCCATTGGACAAACCGCAAATTGAGACAAGCGTCCTGCGCCAACGGACGCTCACGTAATTTCCCATCATTGTATCTTTTTTTTATCGTTCTACGAATAAAATCTGTGCATCTGCGACAGCCTCACACATTCCACAAATAAAAAGGCCCGATTGTGAAATGCAGGTGCGATCTGAACAAACGAGATATACCTGGGAAAGAAGATCCGAAAATTGCAGAGTTGGGGACCAGTGATGCCCTGCTTGCTTGTTTGAGGAAGCGACCGTTCCTTGGGACGCACCGTTTGCTCCAAATCCAACAGAACTGAGCCAAGTGAGCACGGCTGACGGAAGAAAACCGGTTGCTATCAGATTACGAACTTGTCCTACTTGTGCAAATTCAGGATCCCGTTTTGATAGCTTTCCACCAGAACTACGGAAGAAGGAAGAAAAGCAGAATTATATTAGTAAAGAATGCAGGAAGTTAAATATACAATTTAATACTAAATCTTCCAAAAATGTTGAGGGACACCAAGTTGCAATAGTGCTTCCACGTCGTAGGGTGGCCAATGGCTACCTTGTTTAAAACGAAAAAGAATAACGCGGCAGTCTTTTGAGTACAAAGGACACTGATGAGAAGCTTACCATTCTGGATAACAGCCATTTTCTTGAAACCCTCTTACCTGGAGGCATAAAACATTGTGTATGGCTTTACTCAACAGCGTCAGGGATTCACATATTCTTCGTGTGAGTACAGAGGTCTGGTGACTGCGGTCGCGTTAAAGTAAAGTGGGGAACTTGCAGGAAGTTCTCATTCCTGAAAATAACCCCAGTGCGCGAAACCTACTGAGACCCTCGAAATCCAAAATCACAGTAAGGAAGCCGTCAAGCCTCCGAGCCATTAAAGCCAGCTTCTGAACAGACGCTGAAGCAGTCAATCAGTAGAGCAACGGTTGGCGATGATGAGTGTTCACCCAACGCCAATCGGACGGCCTGGACCAAGGTCGAAAGTGCGCCTTAAATACCACGAGACCCCTAGTACATTTTGCACTCGCTTGTTCGCAATACAGTTGTTGAGTTCCTTGTTGGCGGTTCTCTTTTCGACACTGAGGCACTGGAGCGGGGATTAGAGTTAGTTGCAACATCAACGGAAGAGCCCTCCATATTTTCGTAAAATTGCTGAAAACCATTCGACAACTGACTGCCGATTGCAAACTTCCTGGAACTCATCATCTACTTGGATATTAAATTTACGCAGTTGACAAAGTGCAGTCATTTGCAAATTACGTTGATGTTGGTGGGAAACTCAACTGAAGTTCTCTTTTTGTGCAACCCTTGTGCTACTTCCCTTGTCAATACCAATGTAATTTGCAAGTGAGTGTATGTCTCCAACTGAGTACAGTTTGGTGTTCAAGTAGAACATGAGGTTTCCGAATAATCGGAGACTACTTTTACCTGATAACAGCGGAACCGGTAATGAGTAAGCTCATGAGTAGTGTGCTATGCCAGGGAAGTATACTGCGGTATCCCGAACATCCTGTCAACTGAAACATGAGGCGGCCTTTGTTCGGCACATTCAGTTGAATAGTAGTCTTCCACATTACTTCTGTCCCGAATCATTCCGTTTAACGTGTTCCGCGTCGTTTTTTCAGGTGAGGGACATGCACCAAGGTGCTTTGGTTCCAGAGGTTTCATCCTTCATCCCCTCAGGACTTATGCAGCTGCTCGGTTAGATTAATTTCGACTGGTTCAAGTGTGAGAGATAGATTTCATCCCACTCAAGCTGCAGCAGCACTTTCCAGATACGGAGTACACGCCGAGGCAATTAGTTTGCACGTCTAAAGGGTGTGGCGAGTTTGGTTACCGTGTAGCTCAGAATAGCTCGTAGTTTGAGGTTCGAACCAATTATTAGGTTATTGTCAAACACTAGGTTAGACGATCAATTTAATGTTTGAGTCCGTGCGTACGACGGGACGATTTTCGAGTGGGCGGATGTGTCATGTGTGTGCGTACGAAAAAATATACTAGCAATTTGGTTGAACAAACTGAAGATGATGAAGCATGCTGAGTCCTCTCATTTTTTTCAAAGGATGTGGGATATATTAGCCTTCCGCAGTGTGCTCACATATTACCGGCTCATAATGCAGGGCTTCCATTAACGGATACAGCATCATGGGCGAACAGGTTGTGTAGTATTGCGATGTCAGCTTATTTTCAGGTTCCGTTTCATTTCGCATATCAATGTAGCTCAGGTACTACGGAGTGAAACACCAAGCGACAGGCTCAAGGTCGGTTGTTTCTGGCTAGGATTTGGAATGGCCTCCTTCTCGTGCTTTCTGTAGCTTGGATAGAAGATAGTCACTGAGAAGGCAAGGCAGCCGGAAAATGTACTTTTTTGTTTGCCTGGTCAATACAGAAACGGAACAGTAGATGGATGGTATGACGAAGGAGTGAGGGAACACTAACCTGGACAACAGCAGGGGCAGGTGGGCGAATTTGGGGGTGGGCCACTGAAGTGCTTGATACAGAAGCAAGTGTTTGGGAGTAGAAGACAACCACTCCTGTGAAATGAATCAGAAAAGAAATAGGGAGTCACATAACTTCGAGTCGCAATACAAGCTTCGGAAAACATCTTCAGATCACCAGAAATCAAACATGTAGTGAAAAAGGATCCGAACTGAATCACTGTACAACGTTTCAGTTCGCTTGACACGCCCTAACAACAACCAACATACAACTTATGCACACACAGATGAGTCGTGTGTCGCCACTGGCCACTTTGGTCCATTTGCCGATAAAAATAAGGTGGTCGCGTTTGTAATTTGACAAAAAGCGTACATGTAGATTTACCGCCTAACAGCCAAACGGTTTGTTATGGGCGCCATGCTTCACGTTTAAAAGAGCCTGTAGTAACTGAAAAATGGGACCCAATCATCCATTCAATGATAACCAAGATCATTGCTGGAACTAGGCAGTCTGTTGAGGCACTCTTATTACGCATAAACTTGTGGAAAAAAGCACACATAATGTAACGACATAAGATCAGAATGATGTCCACAAGCGACCTTCATTAAGTACTTCTGTGTGCGGCGTTTGAACGAAAGCTTGGAAATCCTAGCCAGCTTCCGATAGTGATAATTCACCTGATAGTACCTGAAATAAGTAAAATGAACTGTGCTTTACATAGTCTCACACAGAAGTAAGCGGTTGTTGTCCTGAAATCAAAACAACAGATTGTCCTATTGCATCGACCACTCACCACTCCGCGGATCACGTGCGTGATTTCCATAAAATGGTCATCCACAACATTGGCCAGGTGATAAACGGGCATTCCATCAGACTTGAGGATTATCTAAGAAGCAAGTAGGCGAAAGAATGAACATTAGTTGGAGGTACAGAGATTTATGCGTTGGCTATAAGTCAAGGAGTAAACAAACGAATAATGATCAGGTGCGCAGTCTCGTTATGGACACCTTAGCTGCTTCACAATTACGACCTCGAAAAAGCCCGGAAAATTTGGTCGTATTAGGGAAGTGGTCGCATCATAGGAAGACCGCTTGGGACTGCTGTGCACAGTCGCACCGGAGGAGATTGGTTAACAAGGGAACCGTCAGATGAGGGGAAACACTGTATTCGGCATTAGCATACAGATTAACTCGGTTCAGAGGGTAAAACTACCGTCCTGCGAATCATTAGAGGCACAGTCCACTGTGACGCTTCGAAATCAGTGTCTTGCTGAGTTCCCTGATAATCCGATCCGTACAGTGCATCTAGACACTATGTGCGTATTCATTTAAGTTGGTTGCAGGCATCTTTGCATGATAGATTCCCTCTCCCTTTGGGTTCATAAGAGTTGGAATTTCCTTAACAGTACAGTTAATCTATATAACGCTCAGGACCGGGACGCCGAAAGACGCAATCATATGTGAAAACTCATCATCATCATTGTCAGCTGCAATAACCGCGTACTCATCGTACAGTGGTTGTAGCTACCGCAGTTACGTTCACCGATGATTTGGGGGGTAGGTAGCTGCGCATTGCCGGCGGGAGCTGATAAATTGGTCCATAAATCCAGCACTGTCAGTGGGCTGTGAAAACTATTTTGGACTAAATGTGTCGCATTATAAAATATGGTGAAAACAACAGTTAGCTACCGCATTCATCAGGTTTACGCAGAAAAGCGGATTTGGGCTTTAGATGAAAAAAATTGTTGTAACCAACAAGTACATGGTCTGATTGGGATTTGAAGTACGCTAAGATATGAAGTAGGCAATTACATCTTTCGGTGGCTACAGCTTAACGTCAGCTTAATATGGGTATGATAAAATCGTTCTCGTAAGTTTCAACATGTAATCAAGACCACTTGAAAAGGACTTCTCGGGGCGAAATGACTCAATGGTTACAGCGCGAATTTACTGACCGGAAGGTCTGTGGTTCAAACCCGACCTCTGCATCTCGACTTTCTCTGTCTAGGCAGTATTGCAGCCTTCGTACTTTCTTCGGGTGGCATGGCAGATAGGCATCGAAAGGGTGCTACAACCGAACGAACGTAATAAGGTCCACACGAAACAGCGTTTGCTTTAGGAAAGAAATGCATAACCCGATTGACGGCGGTCCAGTCAGACCACGTAAACATCGATCAGTTTATCACAAATACATGTGATCTTCGTCGGCATTCGGCTACACTACCGTTCGTGTGCAGTGAGGTTTTGGCAAACTCAAGCGTTATCCGAAAGAAAAACGTTGACATCAAGAAAAGTTCCCTGGATGTGTCGCTCTTCGGAACCACCTTATCCAATGAATCCAAAATGGAGGAAGTCAACTTACCGTGATATCGATCCATCAACGACCTGGCGCTCAATTCAAAAGGAATACACAGCCCCTCAATCTTTTCGGTCATAGAGGTCTTCAAGGTATTCTTGCTGTCTGCAATTGTCTTCTTTTCGACCGCTCCACGGATTCTTACGAAGCTGACAACTCTTTTAGCACAGGACCAAACTTCATTTCTTCTGGTTCTCCGTTGTGGTGTTTCAAATATAAATCTACTTCACACTTTTGGTCTTTCACTCCTTTCCAGCCTTGCCTCTTCAAATCACGAATCAACAAGCACTTAATTTTTTCATAGATCTATTCCGCGTTACGACTACTTTTATACCGAAGTTTGACTTTGACACATATCCTGTATGCGAATTCTTATACTTCTTTCCATAAGATGATTATGGTTTTGCATGTTAATGAGTCCTGTAGATTTTAAGATGTTCCGATTTCTTGAGAAAGCTAAAGTATTCCGGTAGAATACAGCAAAGATGTGGTGGGATCTAGAAAAGCTTAGGCTGGCGAGCGCTTCGTCTCCGTTGAGTAATCAAGTAGGTGTAGGAATGATCGGACATTTGACCCTTTGGCTGACAGCTTCAGGTTATCATTCCTCAGCAAGCAAGTCCGCCAACTAGTTTACAGAGCCGGGAGTCTCAGAAATCTAGAGGCGGTTCAGTATTGAGAAACGGTCCTCAGTGTAAAACTCCTCGAACGATAGTTCAGGGGTCGAACATTCTCTGGACACGCTACTAATTTGACACCGAGTCATCTTAATACAAAAATATAAAAATGTAAGCCTGTCTGAGTGGTTCCTATTTATTAAAAATGGTCAAGTCAACCAGGATTTATTTTCTATTACCAAGCCAACTCAGTGTTGCAAGTGGCTATGGGGCATGTGGAAGCACATCACTCTGTCCTGGCGACACCAATCAAGGTTCGTTCACACGGAAGGAGGAGTGCTAAGTTAAAGTTCCGCTCTTATTAGAGCTCAACTTCAGTGAACATTCTTAGCTATGCCGGGATCTGAACATGGGACACCTGACATGCCAGGCGAAGGCGCTGCAACCATTCCACCAACAGACATTAGACGCACCTGAATTATGAAGTCCAAACTAGTATTCGCGTTTGAGCGATGTGACTGGTTAGCCAGACACCTCAGGGACAAATTATTAACTGCCCTGGTTGTACCGATTGAGTGCACCGTCTGCCAGAACTTCTAGGTCATACGGCGACATGAACTCTAAAAAATACCGTACAAGTTTTGATCAATTTTTGTAGAACTCCCACTCGTTTCAATAACCCTCCCTCTGACTTGACGTAATTATTCTGGTTGGTCCACACCAAAGAGGGGAGAGGAGTAGTGGCTATGATGGAAAGATTGTTCAGAAAAGATTGGTTTGGATGTTGGTTTGCAGCTATCGCTCGCAGCCTAACCTAGCTGGAAGTAAGTGCATTTAATTCTGACAGGCGACATGCACCGGCAAAATGTGTAAACTCATTTTATAATACAACATACCTCGTTCATAGACAAATTGCATGACAGAAGCATTTGCCTCATAGCAGCCAAAATCCATTTATCAAAAAAGTCACCGCTACTCTTTAAGGCAACATGTTCACACGTGAACAACGAGCGTCACTGAAAGATTCATGCATTCACACCCGATTCGACTGCAACTACGTGGAACTGCGATCTCAGGTTCTCAGTTCCAAAGCAGAAAACCATGGCTGATTGGACTCCTGTGAAAAGCCGACTGTGTGCTGTCAGGTTTCTTAGTACAATATCCAGAAACCGACAAAATCATATCACCCAATAGCAAAGGAGTGAGCGTGGATTGCACAAAGTATTACGCGATACACGAGGAACGAATCGGACTCATAAGGTGAGATCATCAAAACCAGTGCACAAAACGCTGATGTATCAATCACCTAGTAGGTAATCTCATTTTTCCGAGAAGTCGGATGCTGAAAGGTGAGCAGAAATCCCCATTCACTTGTTACAGCTGGCTTCACTGTCCAAAGTGAAATGCCAGTAGGCGAACTGCGATCGCATGTGCTAAAATAATCGTATATTTGTTTTTCGAGTTGCAAACATCTACACAGGTCCACCAATATTAAACTAGCCTTCGTTGAGCGGAAACAACAGTGTCTGCGGTGTGAACAGGACCATACACTGTCCTCTGATTGACGTAATTTAGCGGAACAGATAAAGGATAAGCAACAGCAAGTATCGTAAAGACACGTACAAAATCACCTTCAGTGTCTTGCGTCTCAAATGTTACCTCTCCAAACACAACGTCAGAGACTGTCGTTCGTTGATTTGGCACCTAAAACGGTATTGGAGGAAGATCCACGTATGAATAAGGAAGTACTAGCAACGATAATAAAAAACCAAACGGTTGGATGATTAAATTAATGATATCGATCGAGTACATTCCACTTCAACAGTTGCGTAACGTTTTTTCAGGCAGCTTATGAGCCAAGCAGTAAGGTCATAACTAGAGGTAGACTGATTTAGCCATTTTAGAAATTACTGGGGCCGGCTGACTCCTGGCCAATCCATTGGTGCTGGATGATATCGTGATGGAACTCAGAAGGTACTTCGTTCGCTTGGTAGCATATCGCCCGGCGACACTTGCTACTTAGAGAAATGAATCTCACACACCAGCTGTTGCTAGCCATAAAATCGGCTAGTGAAACGGTGACTGATGAAACGTTCACAGTGTCACCATTTTCTCCTGCAGGTGCGTTCCAGAAAGTGTTCCTGATGCAGGCGCAGGGGTGCTGTTTGTATGTCACTGTATTTCCGATGCTTGATTAAATATTGCAACCACCTTTGCCCTCATTGCAACCTCGCCCTCATGAAACGCGCACGATTGCCTTTACTCCAACCGACTGCATCATGCATTATAGATCCGTTGTTTGCAGCTGTTTTGAGATACCTCACAATGAATAACCATCCAACAAGACTTGTCCTTGCAGTTCAAAGAGTGGACAGGGCCCTTTGGACCAAAAACGAGTGACCGTACATGGGCTGGTCGTGTGGCGTTGCGGATGCCCTAATGAACAAGAATTTTAAATTTTGGAGGGTAGAGCACGAATCTCGGCTAGAAAAAAATCGAGGTAAAAATCACACGTTAGCTTTGTCCAGTAAACATTCATACACGCATACACAAATAAATATAACGTTTCTTGAGTAACAGGACTTCAGTGGTAAGTGCATAGATAATTCTGAAAATGGCTCTAACGAAGAATGCCCTTTATTGGTTTTTATGCTGATAAAGTGGAAAATTTCCGGGGGACTAAAAGACGACCATTATGTAAATATGAGGCCTATTCCAGGTTAACTTGTAGTAAGACAATCATAACAGAAAACTAGAAGGTATATCTGACTTACCTTGAAACGAATAGTATGAGGTTCACTGCTATTCATGCGACTAAGAGCAGTAGCATGCGGTAGGTTCCGGCAACGATTGTCGTATCGAGGAGTCTCACCCCGACGCCGCTGCTCATTGCGGAGCAATTCCAATCGATCGTGTGAGCAAAAACATGGGTAGGCCAAGCCATTTCTGACCAAACTTTCAGCTACCGCGGTATACATGGTCCTTCTTTCTGACTTGAGCAGAAACAAGAGATAACGTAAAAAGAAACACTAAACGCAGTCGACTTATACCTGTCAACTCCCAATACTAAAACGCATGGGTTGTACAAGCAAATGTGCGTCATGTTTAGGCGCAATACAGAGTTCCAGCTACCAAAAGTCGACGGCATGATTACACTGGGCTCCTATACACAACCTTGAAAGTAACGACATTAAAAAATCGGACACCCAACAACTAGATCCATCATCTCCTTTGGTTAACGATGGTACAACTACAAATTGCCCTTAAGTGAAAAGAGAGACTAGGGAGGAACTTGGTGCTAAGCTATCGCAAGCATTCTGCAGTACCTACATCTCTAAGTGCTCAATCAAACAAACTAGAAAGAAACTGACAGTACGAACGCCACTAATATCAATGGCTTTTCTTGCAGAGTCTCCAACGAAGCGCAAGGGGGTCACGGTGGCCATAGCCTGGAAGACATTCCGCATCAACAACACTTAAACTCTTTGTAACCTCTCACGCACTTATGCGAAGTCTAACACCATCTGTTCGTAGAGGCCATGTCTCGCAACCACACAACAGCACAGTCCTTGTGTTCTGCTGCACACGACCCTTAAAACCCATTGACATGTGAACACCCCAACAGTTCAATGAAATGAAGCAATGAAAACGTGAATGATAACAGTTTCCACAAGTAATACAGAAAAAGACAGTGGTCGACCCTCGCCACTGACGATAGATAGCGACACGGCCTATCTGGATCCGGGACTGGTTTGTTGGCGCCATCGTCGTCATCATCATCATCATCATCCACAGCATGAAATCAGTGGTCAACAGTGATGCCTTGGTGCCGTACAACCGTGATTTATTTGTGAGCCTTATTGTGAGAAAGGGACTTAGTCCTAACTTACTGCAACCATTCCAAGGTGCCTACGCATCCAGACACTCGTTCAAATGGAAACGGACAACAAGAATGCAATTGACATAGACTGACAGCTGCCAACCGATGTCAGTGGCGTTCTTGTTGTCAGTTTCTGTCCAGATTGCCTGAGTGAATGTCTGGAGGTGTAGGCACCTCGGAATGATTGTGTTAAGCTAGCACTAAGTCCCTCCCCCATCCACCTTTATTCTTTTCTTTACAATAAGGCTTTCAAATAAGTCATGGCTGTACGGCAGTGAAGCATTGGTGTTGAGCACTGATGTCATGCTGTCGTTGATGATGATGATGAACAGCCATATCTTGCAGTGTGTTCAAAAAGACCCAATGGAGTTCACGCGGCCCCTATCCTGGAAGGCGAGTAGCACCGACAACCCCCATGCGTTTCGTAATCTCTTTCACACCCCTCTGACGACCACCTCTCTGCTTCCACCACCCTAAAATTGGGCACGGAAAAAGGCACTCTCTTCGGCAAACGATGATTCGGCATGCGCAATACACGGCCTAACCAACGCAGCTTCTGGTGCTGGAGGCAGTCTTCAATACAAGGCTCTATAGCACAAATGAAAACTCGCTTTCCAATAGCCTCATTACGTATTCGTCGAGACCAGTCCACACAAGCTAAGATTCTGAGACGACTGTCGAATACCTGAACACATCCCAATTCTGCTGCTCGAACAGGCGAAGTCTCACAGTCACACAAGACAGTCCGCACTGTCGCCTGGCACACAATCCCTTGAGATTCGGGGATATACTGCTTTGACGCCATTGGTGCCTCAAATTAGCAAACGCGACCCGGGCCTTGCAGATTCGTGGATCGACCTCAACTGTCACACTACAATCAGAACACAACTTCCAGTACCTCTCTCTGGATTGTGAGTGGCGTGTTTAGTGACTGCATGTTCACGAGCATGACATTATATTTTTTGGGTGCAGAGTGCATACCAAAGGACAGGATGACTTTGGTCGCGCCTTCTCCTCTTCGAAGACGAGAACGATTTTGTCTGCATATTCTAGATCTACAAGGCTTTCCTCACAGGTTTTTTGGAAACTGGGGGTTTGGAAACCTTTCAGCGTCCATCTCAGGACCTTACCAATCATGGAAATTAATAGTGGGCACGCCTGATGTACAACGCACTGTGTACGGAAGCCTTTGGAGAGTTCTTCGTATACTCCAACACGTCCGGAAATCTGAGGATACAAAGAGCTTGGCTCACCAATATCCGGAGCATTCCTTGGTGGGTAAGCGTGTGACGAAAAGACAGGTCAACAGAGTCGAATGAGCCTTGGAAGTCCAGGATCACTAAAATTGTGGGTCGCTTATACGTATGGCGCTGTTCTAGCATCTGACGGGATGTGAAGATTTGGTCAACGCAATCACTACCAGGCCGGAATCCCACATGCTGCTTTCAAATCAGTGTTCCGCGAGTCACCGTAAAATGACGAAGAACAAGGGATACCAACAGTCTCGTTACGACCGAGATCAAGCTGATCCCCCTATAGTTACCACACTCATTACGAACCCCTTCTTTTGAAAATAAGCACTATCACCGACTCACTACAGTTGTCTGAGATAGTCTCCTCTTCCCGAACGTAAGCAAACAGATCAGGCAAGCACCGACTGAGCAATGTAGGTGGAAGGCAAGCCAATTAGGCCTCAGAATCTCTAAGCCTATTGGCCTGAGTGTTAATGTCACCATTTCTGTAAGGATGTCTAAGCATTCAGCCAGTCGTAAAAGAATACCTAGTACAACACAAATTGTCCTGGGCAGATTCAGAGCCACAGTCCGTCGGGGCTTCAGAACCACCAGATACCCGAAGAGTGAAATGTGGAACATCTGAGCTCGTCATAAGCGCTTGAGGTGCACGACCGAAGTGGGTCTTGTGTGTGCTTCGTAGACACTGCACAAATCGACAGGGAAAGCAAGGTTCTAGCAAGAGATGCCCGTTGCCCAATTCGGCATACAATACAGACATTACGGGCTGCGACGTGAATCAGAATTTTTGAAGTTAGCACGTGAAAATTTTGGCTTATTTTTCTAGGTGATGCTTTGGACACGGAACAATAGCTAGAGGGCTGACAGATGGGTTGATCACGCGGCATCATTCGATAACTGGGGACAAATGTGGGGGAAAGACGGCAGTATCCCAGCCCTCGTGCTTCCTTCGTGGCATGGCAGTTAGGCACCGAAAGGGCGTTACAGCTAGAAGATTTCCTTTTTTTCACGCAGCGTGACTGAGAAGCTTGAACCGTGAGGTAGGGGTTGTTGGAGTTTTCTTGAGGGAATCTTCTTAAAGCCATTGACTCATTATTCTGACCCACTTGCCTAGAGGAGGACGGTCTGGCCCGAGGACGCAAGGGTCTCACTCCTGATGCGGCTGCGCACAGCAGGTGCCCTTTAGCGACACCGGACTCTGGTTTCAAAAGTATTTCGATAGTAGTGAATAATGCGCCAGCGGCCACAGCCAACCGTTGAGTAGTCGGTGTGTGCAGTTTTTAGGGCCGACGTTTCCTAACTCGTCTTTCCTCGGGAGAAGTTCGTATCACTATCTCCATGAACATGGACATGCTGGTCAACTGGGAGAAACACCTTACTGCCTTCACACACCTATCGTGGAGGACAGTACGACTTCACCTCCAGGCCGCATCGTAATACGATTATTCGCTGTTCTTCGTCGTGCTGCTCCCCAATGGTTTTCGTGACATGGCGGAAAATTTACGAACTGAGTTTCAGCCAGCATAGCCCGCAGGACCACTGTAGCAAGGAAGCCCGGCTACAACGGCCAAATGACAGATTTAGGTCGGATAAGGTTTTTAGGGAATAAGTCGTGCCTGTCCCAGCTCCAATCTGGAGGACCAAAGAACTGTGTTCGTCGGAACTCTATTTACTGGCCAACCTGGCATGAGAAACTCTGTGGGTGTCAGTATCAAACAGAATATAGCTCAGACGTACGCAAACCGGCGAAAAGTGATAAGGTTCAGTTTTCTTACAACGGAGAAATCATTTAGCTACCAACTCCAGCGCCTCAACACAAAACAAAAGACGATTATCATCGTCATCATCGACCGCATGACATCAGTGTTCAACACCGATGCTTCACTGCCATAGGGAAAAAGAGTGGGGAAATGCGAAAGTAAAGCCGTTCACAAATACAGGGCTAACCCCATGGTGTAGGAGTTTTGATGAGATGCTTCTGTCAGTATCTCTCAGAGAAACAAACTTCCCAGACCGAAAAAGGATGCACTTTGCACAATTGGTTGAACTGTTCCCTGAGAAGATCATTTCCCACGCTGAGGATGTTTTGGCATACCATGCTTACTTGAGGTCAAAAGTACGATATATATATATATATAATATTAAAGGAAGTCAAGTATAATGTAAAATGTTTGTATTACGATATGAACTGGCAGGTCAGATGGATAATAATTCAACACCTACTTGAATATAGGGACCGTGTTTTCCAGTATTTAGTGGTCCTTCGTCTGCACTAATACCAGCCCACTGGAGAGAGTTCAGAATATCATCGAAAGCCTCTTTTACACATCGGTTCTGAAAGTAAGTAGATCCGGTTATGCTTGCCTACCGGGTCTGTGTCTTCGATGCGAAGAACAAATACGCCACTATTTTGCACAGCAAAAAGTTTATTCATAAGTGCAGTACGGAGTCCTCCAATATGCATATACCCAGTTGGGCTGGGCGCAAAGCGCACGCGAACGTCGGAAGCATTTCTTGAAAATAAGAGGCGCAGATGCTGGAGCCAACTGGGACTACGATATAAATGCAGCGAAGAGCCGAACAAAACGCGCCCAACCTGAAATGTGAGATGTACTGGTTGCTGATGCTCTCTGAAGTGTTATTGACAAACAAGTAGTTGGGCTTCAGCGGCGGTTGGCGAGAATGACTGAAGCCATCTATCCGTAAAGAAGACGAATGAAAGCAGTGTGGTAGATCACCCAAGCGCCATACAACCGCCCATATACGGCCGGTTTTGTTAAAGCTTTGTTGGGTTGATTGGAAGGTGCGAGCCTAGGTGTTTTACTGTCACGAACTGTCGTCGTCCTGATCATCACGGACACCAGCAGACCAGTAGTGGAAAGTGATACTCAACTGCTATACAGTAATGAAGGGAGAAAGCCCTCGCAAAGTGTGGAATGAACGGAAAGTTCGGAAAGGACGCCATCAGTCATACCAAAAAAGGACCAAATTGGAGAAGACTGCCACCGGCTACAAAGCAGTGCACGACCCCTTGCGCTGTACTGTGGGGATTTGGCAACAGGCGATCCTCACTCAATTCGTCGAACCTTAGCGACGGATGCGCATCGAGAAGAGTGCTCCGGCTAACTGTTTAGCCGTTACGATCAATGTTATCCCTCATCATCATCATCATCATCATCATCATCATCATCATCATCATCAAGGACAGCTACATCAGTGTTACCACTGATGCTTCGCTGCCGTACAACCATAAGGTTTGTCTAGTTATATATATA